CAATTATCTGGTGGTTCAGCGTGTGCACGATTAGGTGTAGCAACGAGTTTGGCATAGGCCTCAATCGTGCAAGACAATAAGATGCCAAAATAGCGAGACTAGGGACTCTTGGCTCGGAGCCAAAGAAGCACTCCATACCTAAGCCCAAACTTCGCCTATTTCGGTGATTTGTGGCTAAAGAAGGCTGCTAAATAGGGCATACGCCACCTCCAATCACGAGAGCGTTCAAACTGTTTACCAGATGATATCATGTGAAAATCAGTAGTTTCTAGAGTTATGAGCTTCGTCGCCGATCGAAAACCAAGGACACTACAGTTTCGAGGTTTCGAAGATCAAGTGGGCCGAGAATAATGCCCAAATTCGTGATGCCAACTCTGTTACTTTCTGTAACCCTTCTAGAAAAACAAATGAACAACTGTACGTCAGCTGATCAGAATTCATCGTGAGAGTTCCCGTAGAGTTCATCGTGAGAAATTCCAAGGAAGGGTAGAAAACCAAACTCGCTTGGCTATTTTAAAGGGATAGGTACATATATCTCAAATATCGTCTGAGAGACTAAGACCTTCGTGAGGCACGCTTGATGAGCAGCAGGAGGACAGGTACCGCGAGTGATGATTGAACATGACTATTTCTCATGGCTCTTGAACCTAAAGGACCTTAAAGGACTAAAGGATCTGGACCTAAAGGCATGGAACAGCATCAAATTCGATGTAGCAATTTCATCCAAATATTAAACTAAGGACGAGAAAAGGACCGCAAATGTAGAAAGAAAATGAAAAGAAGCTGTCAAAGAGCGCAGAAAACGCGAACCTCTTTTCTTCGCTCTTACACTGGCGGGAAGAAAGCTAGGAGAAATAAGAGATAATGTGAGTTGCGCAGAGGGAAAAAGTCCAAGACGAGATAGCATGGTCGACAGTATGACATAGGTGAAGTATCGAAAGTTGGGCAGGCACGAATTTTTTTGGACGTGGAAAGATCCAAGTCCAGAGCGTCATATAATTAGGCCGGTGTCAGACTTTGCGAATCGAGCTGGATTCGCTAGCGTCCGCGGTCGCGTCACGCCCAGCGATTCGCACGACTGGTTTGGCCACATTCGCAAAGTCGGAATCGGCCTTAGTGACGTGCTTAGAGAGGCGCCGATTTAGCGATGCGGATCACTGCAGCGAAGTACCTAGGCATCTTTTTCATACGGAAAGAACGTTTTCACAGGCGGGGGGGCTTTTCAACTCCCTTGGCCGTGAAGATTCGAAGGGAAGCGATCAAAGGATTGAAGGCTTCTCAAATTAATTCGACCCCAAGATTTTATTGATGCGGACTTCGGATAACCCAACATATTTGATGATTACAGAACGAGGGAGGAGGAGAAGATACTCGTCATGAACGCGTTTTTAGCTCTGTAAGTGGGGACCGGTTTTCAGCTGTGACTACGTTGCCCTTTCGAATTTCACCCAAATTCGTATACGACCAAAAAGGGCACTTGAAAAGACAGACTGATCACTGCAGGAGGCCTCAACTCTACAAAAACAGGGTTTACCCATTCCGTGTTCCGCGTCCTCTCCAGCCACTGGATATGAACGTCATAGAGGGCAGAAAAATTTCAAGCACTTGTTGCAAACTTTATTATAACTTTTTGTAGAGATTTGGTCGGTATCGGGCAAATAACACCTTATTTTTCTTTAAATGGGCGGGAAGTGGCGTTAGCGCAAGGGGGCGTGACTACACGTCGCGGAATTTTTTCGGGGAACGAATCCCAGATTGTCACCATCCAGGTTTACGGACTACTTGATTTCTCCTCAATGTCCTGCCGCGATGGCTAGAGCACAGCCGATTAGAGAACGGATGAATGCTTTAGGACTGAGCGACCTGCCAGAGAGCGCAGAGGCGGATCAAAGGGCTAAGTTCAAGTAGTCCGTCAACCCACCATCCAGGCCGATCAACTCCTGCCAATGAAATTCCAGTACGGTACTAAATAGATGGAGAATGCATGGCGCATCCCAAAGTGGTATGATCGACCGCCAAAGGGTACCTGCAGAAGCGTGCGTGGCAGTGAGAAGGCAGAGTCGAGAGGGGTGGGCGGTCGAGTCGCAGCGCAAACTAAAAAGTTTTCACTTCAGAATAGAATGAGCTGTAGTGCATCCGAAACACACTGCACGCGATGCGACTCGTCCGCTAACCCGTCTTGCGCTTCTGCCTTCTACAGCGCGATCCATCGGCGATCCTCCGCTGTTCTGGTATGCCGACCCGCGAGTGTATTGTCTTATTCTCACACTTATTTTTATATAATTTGTACATAATAAGGTGATGTGTAATTAGGGGGGGGGCAAGTCAGAGCAAGTCGTCCCACTTTAGGCCAATTCAAGGTTTCTAACAGTTAGCAGGCATCATACTCATGTTAAAGGGCTACTGTGCTTTTCTTCGGCGTTTAATTTGAGCCGATCATTTTATGGACTTGAATCACAATCAAACAACTTCACGATCCTGAATGTAGGTAGAATGCATGGCGTACCTCAATATGAATTATTTTACGACCAAATTCCAACACTTTTATCGTCCAATCCTTCGAATATGCACACAACAGTCTAATATTCATCCAAAAGTGTTGGACGCCCTCATTCGCCTACCCTTTATCATTTTAGTCCCCCCCCCCGTCAAGTATACACACCGCAATTCACTCTTACAGTATCCGCGCACAGTATCAATATCGATCGCACGTATGTAAAATCAATACCTACACAAAAATACATGGAGCTGCTAGCGTGCGACGCGGAGCGGATTGGAAATTCGGCACAAAATGGGGTTGATCTAGGTAAAAGCTGATCAAGTGGTTTCAAGATCTGTTGTGAAATCGAGGAGGTGAAATTTCATTTTACGGCTTATTTTTAATTTTCCAAAAGAGAACTCAAGAAGCCAGAAAAATAAGCGGATTAAATTCGTATCTCTGAAGTGAAGACTCAGGCCAATTATAATAGTACTTCCCGACATGGATTCTTTACCGTCGTGCAAATTAGATTTTGTACAGGCTACTCAAAACTTCAGTCAACGGTGCTGAGGATTTTGGGGTTGAATCATGACTTCTCAGTTACGGCTTGTTTAAATTGTGGAACAGATTACGTATCGGTCGTGTTGCGCAGTTGACGCTACCGGAACCGCAAGCCCATACGGCAAAGGTATGCTTCAACCCGAAAACAAACTCAAACCGATCGAAAATTGACCCCAAAATGGCACTATTTACACTTTACTGGCCAATTTCTGATTATCTGGTCCGGATTCGCCTTCTAATTTTTCCATCAGCGGTTAGGATTTGACTGGAAATTTGTCCCCGGGATTAATGTTGATCGAAGACAAATGAATACCGTATCCGTTCGAAGGAGAAGCGCTTAGTGCCCCACCACAGGCTCAAACGCTAGCAAATTCAAGATCAAAAAAGCTAGCACATTTGTTTGACGCAGGTAAACCTTCAGCAAAATGAAGGGCCAAGGTGTTCCTAGGTCAGCTAGACAATTTGTATCATCAAGAATGCATATGTTTCGTTTACCGTTGGAATGAATTACCTCTTGGGAACGTGTTGGTAGAGGGAAGGTGGGGGGGTGGGCATAGAGGGAGGAGCAATTTTTAGCTAAATGTTCCCAAACTTCCAGGAACGAATCCCAGAAACTGGGGGGCGAGTATGATAGTAGGAAGGCTGGAATAGTACGAACATGGCATTAGAAATGGTGGAAAAAAACAGGAAATAAAAATTTAACCAGCCGTTTCAGTGTGAAGTGAAGGGCTGAAAGGTTTTGGCGGATGATTTCGAGCAAATCGGTCAAGTAGGGAAAATCGATTGTAATCTCCTGGGACGCTGGTCTCGGAATGAAAAACCGCTTGAGATGATCGTCGAAGCGTCGATGTCGACTCACAGAAACTCGTTTCTCGATTGATGGCCATTCACTGAACAACACTTACTTATCCGCATTTTTAATCGAAACGTGAACGTGTTTTCTTCACGAAAATATTTTAGATGAAGTGCGCTGTGATTGCAAATGTTCACTCACCTATGAGCGTTCATAGTTAGCGAATCAGCTGCAAATACCCGTTGCGTGAAATACACTTATCGATTGGGCGCGCGAACTCGACCCCGCCTGCTCGCTTTAAAACATTTGATCTTACGTCAGATAGATTGTATTACAGCCCGATGTCATAGTTTGCGAATCGAGCGATTCGCTAGCGAATCGCTGGATCCGAGCGTTGCGCCAGCGAATCGAACGTTGCACCAGCGAATCGAACTTTGCGCCAGCGAGTCGAACGATGTACCAGCGAGTCGAACTAGGTACCAGCGACTCAAACTTAGAAAGTGGCCGCGATCCCAACGTTTAAAGGAAAGCCCGCCATTTTCAAACAGTGTATCGGTCGCTGGTACATCGTTCGACTTCGCTGGTGCATCAGTCGATTCGCTGGTGCAAGTTCGATTCGCTGGCGCAACGCTCGGATCCAGCGATTCGCAAACTGGCATCACTCGACGTCCCTACAGCACAGTACGCGCAGCAACTCGTCCGCTGATCCATCTGCGTCTCTGCCTACTCGCCGCCCGACGGGCCTACTGTCGGGTACTCTGGGTTGCCCAGAAGTCTAAACTGCAAGAGACACGACTTCTAATTGCGGGCATACCCTGTGGCTCAAATGCAGTTTGAAAAAGGGGGATCAGCATCGTAGCGCAGAGCACCAAAAGTATTCAACACTGAATCTCCCATTTTCATACGCGGATGTTTCCCTCGCCTGTTACAAAGTACAACTAGTCACAAACACAGGAGTCCTAGCAGGAGCTTCTGTCTTCTATGCCTGAAAAATTGCAATACTGCTGATAGGCAGGTAATAGGTGGTCTGTTGATGCTTGATCCCTTCCCTTCCCCGCAACAAACAGTGGCGACACTGGCGCCCATCGCTGGGTTCACAGTACCGATAAGACGACGTAAAACAAAACGTGCGAGAGCCCCACACACAATGTCTCAGACTTCACGCCGATGGCACTATTTTGTCGAAAGGATGCGGCAATTCCTCGTAGCTCTCCAATTCACAATGTCTTTCGACTATATTTTTTGTGTTTATCCTTTGTGTTGATTTGTGTGATTGCCGTCCCACTGATCAGTGATCAGTGATGTTTGTGGTTTGTCGGAGCGCTACACTCTAGTTCTAATCACATCGACCTAGGACGAGAGAGAGCGTGCGGCCAAGGAGGGTCTCCTTCTGCCCGAGTACACCTCCTAAACACGCCGCAGATAGACAATGCGATCGTCACTGCCTTCGTCACCTCTCCAGACTTCTAACTGCTGATTGTGTCACCTTATCACGACCTCTGAACCAAGCAAGATTTGTCCACCAAGAAACCTCACCGTCACCGTCGATGCCGAAAGACTTCGAGGATTATGCGAAGCGTTATTTTGTATTCGAACAAGTCGAACCAGATGTGTTCAGGTATGGAAAGTGTTTTGATTTTTATTTTTTTCTTTTTTTTATCGATTTGATTGCCAATAGTGCAGATGGTTAAAGTACCGGTTTTTTTTCCAAGTTTTGTTCAGTTTTTTCGAGTCAAGTTTTTCGCCTCAGATTTTTTTGTGTCTTCAACTCTATTTCGCATTGTATCACATTAAAAATTAGTGAATAGAACGAATTTCTGATGCTACTTTCATTTTGAGAATATTTGGCACGATCTTAGGCCGCGTTCATAGTTCGCGACTCGGGAGATTAGGATAGTAGGCGATAGGATATTAGGATAGTAGTAGAGTAGGAGATTGCGCTGACAAGATTGGATACGTATCGATTGAAATCGCTGGAGAGTAGTAGATTGGGCGACTTCAAGCGAATAGATCAATACATATCTAATCTTGTCAGCGCACTATCCTAATCTACTACTATCCTAATCTCCTACTCTACTACTATCCTAATCTCCCGTCAATACATATGTTTTTCATTGTCGCGTAACTATCCTAAGTCTCTGGGAGTCGCGAACTATGAACGCGGCCTTAGGCAGGTTGCGTCGCGACCGCTCGCCTAATATCCACGTATGCTGTCATCTATCTTGATGATTGTTTTCAGGACAACAAATTTGATCACGTTCCGTCAAGGATCATCCAAAGCCGCTTATGGAGGACTTATTTTTGCTCAAGCGCTTGCTGCCGCAGAAAATACTGTTTATGAATCGTTGAAACCCCACCATGCATTCATTTTTATACTTCAAAGGTGATCATTATGTGGCTGATTTAGATCTTCCCCCTCACGATAAGCTGGTACTGTTGATCCGAAATGTAGAAGTATTAAATGGTGCTTCTTCAAAAAACCAAAGAAATGGCCGATTTGGAGAAACAGGGCCTCTTTTAGCCACCAATTTCGGGAATGGATGAGTCGATCGCTAATACGAAGGTGTTCGAATGAAGCTAAGATTTCGATCAGACTCTGCGATTGTATCGCTCCAAAGTGCGAGCGACGGTAGATTTACCCGAGCGGCGCCGTGTGTATCGGTCGTCGGCGGGGTAAATCTCCCGTCGCTCGCACTTTGGAGCGATGCCAATCGCTCTAGGCAGAGCGACTGCATCGCGCGATGCAACTCGCTCTAGGCAGAGCGATTGCATCGCGCGATGCAGTCGCAGAGTCTGACGAATCTAAGGCTCGCGGACATTATTGCCAACGACGATCCGATAGTAGCCTACTACTGTTTACGGCTGGTCCTAACAGTGGACCATTGCAGGAAAAAAGTAGGCCGATGTCAGACTTTGCGAATCGCGCGATTCGCTAGCGTCTGCGGTCGCGTCGCGGCCAGTGAATCACTCAATTGGCTGGTACCGCAACGCGACCGCGGACGCTAGCGAATCGCGCGATTCGCAAAGTCTGACATCGGCCTAAATGACCGGAGCTGTTTGTATTCTGAGTACATTGCCCTTCCACGTGCTCGCGGAGCATGTTTGAGGTACTTTTAAGGGTTTTGAGGCAACTTCGGTGCAGTCTCACTGTGGCTTGTCGCTAGCGCGCCTTCTGTCGCGGAAGGCTACCTGCTGTCCGTCTGCTTTGTCCCACTCTCCTCTATCCTCTCAACTACCCATCTTTCTCTTTCATGATTATACGTTTTATCGCAAGT